GCAGGGGGTTCTGGCCGGACCCGGCCGGGGGAAGGGGCGCTGAGCTCTTCTGTGGGGCCCAACAGCTGAGGGGAGCGAGGCCTGGGGCAAATGCTGCCCAGGTAGGGGAGGACGGGTCCCGGGGCAGCCCAGGGAAGGATCCTGGACCACCTGCCTGCCATGAGCCGACGGACCTGCCCTGACGTGGGCTCCTCGCTGCCCCCCAGCCTGTGCGCTGCCCCCCAGCCCTCCTACCAGGGCCAGTCCCATTTCTTGCTGAGAGGGGACCCAGCAGGGGGAGCTGCTCCTAGGGTGACTCCTGTAGCTCCCTGGGGACTGTTCACATCTCTGGGCTTTTGTCACCTCTCACACGCAATGAGTTTGGGGATCTCAACCCACCCCCTTGGACTGCCTGATCCAGCCCCACCTCAGGACAGAGCTGGGCAGGGCCAGGAAAGGTGTATACTGTGCACACTTTCCTCCCCCAAATTAAGATGGTTGTTTATACTGAGGACTTGTCAAGAGGCAGTGTCACAGCAGCCTGAATAAGTTCTTCGAAGTCTTAGCCCCAGATGCTGTGCTCGCACAGCCCGAGCACAGAGCAGGGTGCTGTGGAAAGTGCCACTTTGTCAGGGCGGTGGGAGAGCCCAGTGCACTTGTGCCAGAGCAGGGACCCCACAGGGCGCAGCAGGAGCCTGACACCTAGCTGGCCTATGAGCCATGTCCCATGCCCACTGTGCCATGTGGCACTGACTCCAAGGTCTCTACCACACAGAGCCCCTGCCTCTGGTCAAGCAGAGGTGACATGTAAACAGAGTGGGCTGTCTGGGAAAAAGCACCCACCAGGGATGATGCAACCATAGTGCAAGGGGCAAAGTCCTCAGCTGGCTGGGCCTGCTGGCAGCTCCCAGAATAGCCCAGAAATGTCAACAGGGAGGAAAGAGTGCCCAGGAGCACAGCTCCCACGGGACCCAGGAGCTCTGGCTGCAGGCAGCACGTAGCCAGCACCGCCTGTGCCCCAGCATGGCTATGCAGATGGTGCTTCCTCCCAGGCTCTGGCACAGGTGCAGTGGTGGTGTGCACACTCACACACCTGTGAGCACAGAGCCATTTTCACTCATGCTCACATGCAAAACATGCATGTCAATAATGCATGGCCCCCCCACCATGTCTGGAGGCACGTGTATGCATGCATTTCTGCAGATGCTTGGTGGTATACATGCACCTGCATGTTCCCTTGCAAACAAATACTTAGTCTCATACACGTTGGTTTGGACACATGCTCAGTTTGTGGACATGCTCTCGTGCACCTCATACACATCCCTCTATCTTTTATTCCATGTTCCCATGCCAGTGAGTGGAGCGTTTCCTTCCTCGCTCTCCGGGCAGGTTAAATTCCCCACAGGGTAGAGGTGCTCCTGCCTTCACCCTGTGGAGGAGACTGGGTGCCTGCGTCTGATGCTCTTCCCCACATGCAGGAGGCTGGGGGGATCCTGAGCTGGCATATGGACCAGCGCTGCCCCTGGTGCTAGACAGGCAGCAAGGAACCAGGGACCATTAAAGGCTCTGTGTCACTACCACCTTCCAGCAACCGTGCCACAGCTCCATGCACACAGGAAAGGCAAACTGAGGCACAATGTCTTGCTGAATTCCTCCTTCCCTGCTAGCTCCACAGAGTCAGGGCTGGGGCACAGCATGACACAGAGGAGACAAAAGTTTGGGGCAAAGAGGGTGAATTATGCTCTACCCAACTCTCTTTTCCAGATTGGGGAGCAGGGTCTCCCCAAAGGGATTAAACACCTAGGATCTGCCAGGACCCCTGAGGACTGGCCAGCACTGCACAGGTACCTCTGTGAACCCCCAATTTCACCTACAGCTGAGTGAGAGCATCCGATCTGCCTGCCCCCTGCGCCCTGGCTGCTGGATCTAGGCCAGGGGTCAGTGCAGAGCTGTGAGTGGTTCTTGCACTCGTTGCGTAATGGTGTTGTTGATTAAGCAGTTCCCAGAAAGCAAAGCCCAGGGACCAGCCTGACCAAAATACCCCCCCCCCAGGTCCCCCTCAAGCCCAGCACTCACTGCACACATGGCTTTTGGGCCTCCGACCTCGCGTCCGGTGGGGCAGGGGCAGCATCTGATGACCCAGCCTAGCGGTGCTAAAGGCCCAGAGTAATTAGGGACCCGCCAAAAACTCATGCACCAGCATCTCAGAGTGACGTCTCTTGGAGCGCCCGTTTAGGTGCGGCTCTGCCCAGCAGCTGGGTACTGCTTCCAGCCAAGGAAGCACTAAAGCCAGCCGTGCCCCTTCC